CATTGCATTCTCCTACTGCATTCGATTGCATAACAGTCATTTCACACCGTTTACTGTTGAATGACAGCTAGTTTTATAACAGAACCATTTTTTTCTGAAGAGCAGTCGACAGCTGGACCACTGCGATTGCAGCTCACTTAGAGTCAATATTAAAATGTTTCGTGATACATGAACTGCAGTAACGTGGCATTTTAGGTACTACGATTTTTATGCAGGGCTGGGCACCACCTCAAGAGTGTCGCATAGTTACTTAGGCAACATTTCACGAATGAACGTCTTATAGGCCAACACTTCCCCCTCTTCCCACCAGACCTCAACCTCTGTGACTTTTGTCTATGAGGTTATCTCAAAAGCACTGTTTATGGTGATAATCTAAACAATTTGGCAGAAATGAAAAATGTGATACACTGATAACATTCCTCCTGATATGCTATGTGTAACGTGTATACGAGCCAGTTTCCCTTAAAACGTCCTCCACGAAGGCATCCCTACCTTAAGGCAGATAGCCCTCGAGTGCTTTGCCGTAATCTAATAAACCAAACCAAAACCAAACCTGATATGCTAAGAGCTGCTGTTGAGAATGCAGTAACATGATTTAACTTGCTTTCGGAAAATGCTGGATGCTACATTGAACATGCTTTGTAACACGTTTCGGAAAAGATTAAACATTTTAAACCGATGTTTTCATGTCTTATTTCATTTAACAATATCACATACAGTGCCATTTTTCTCTGGTGGTGAGTTTTTGAACTCTTTTTTTTTTTTTTTTTTTTTTTTTTTTTCGGCAGAAAATAAATCTCCATATAACCTCCTTTACACGATTCCTAAGTTTGATAACATTTGGTCCGGGAGTTTTTCTTTTATGACCATTTCAAAGTGGAACTTTAATTATAACCACCATGTAAATTAAACTTTAAATGTTTGACAGTTTGGTTCAAGTCCCAGCTTTTAAAAAAAATATATATATATAAATATAAATTTTTATATTAATCCTTCTTAAAAAGAATGTTTTAAGAAGCTAATTTTTCTCTCGTGTTATAGATTGTATAAAAAAATGAGCTTTAATATGATTTAGATTGTTTCAGCCGATATAAGAATCGGGTTACTCGGTGGTACAGAATAAACCCTGCTGGACTGTTTTATTTCTTTGTCATTTAGCAAAAATCTTTTAATTAAAATATTTATCCTTTGGACTTCGCTTTAAACTTTATTTATAGCTAAAATGACTAGAAAATGAAAAGCTGTCTTTAGCTGAAACGCAATTCATATAATTGATATTTTAAAAAATTGACAAGATTGCAAAATGTTTGGAAGTCTAGCAGTCGAAAAATCTTAATTTTCTTGTGTGAGCGCTGAAAATAACTGTAGAAGGAAAGAAGAAAATTAGGGAGAAAAGTAAGCAAAAATTTGCAGGGAAATTTGCCTGTCAGACATACCAAGATGTTCAAAAAGTTGGACGCTTTCGAATATACTTTCAGGATACTTCAAAGAATTTAGGTGTTCAAAGAGAAAACACTTGGACGTGTACACCAGCAAATACCATCAATTGAGCTTGTGTTAACAAAAAAGACAAAACGATATCATTGCAGATTAAAGTGAAGAGCGACTGGTTTTAAACTATATGGTTGTGTAATTTACGTTATAGAACATCATATCGTATCATAAATGGTGAATCCCATGATTTTCTCAGTCGAATTATTTGAAGATTCAGGAGTTTATCCAGTGATGTATGTGGATGTCACCTAAAGATGTTTTTTTTTCCCTTCCTGATGAAACAGCGGCTGAGCGGTAAAGTCGCTGAACACTGGTAGTTCGGTCCGAGGATCGAATCCCGCGAACGGGCTGGCTGCATGGGCGTTTTCGTGGTTTTCTCCCATGTGTAACGTGTATGCGAGCCAGTTTCCCTTAGAAAGTCCTCCACGAAGGCATCCCTCCCCTTAGGCAGATAGCCGTAGTGTGCTTTGTCATAATAAAATAAACCAAAACCTTTTGATGAAACCAGTCTTTCCTTTCATCTCATACCTTCAAAATGATTAGCCTCTAAAGACTGATAAAGGCTCTGACGAAATACTTCGTGAAGAACTTTCTAAGGGAAACCCAGTCATACGCGGTACACATGAGAAAAATCCATGAAAACGCCCATGCAACCAGCCCGTTTACCGGGGTTCGAACCCCGGAGTAAACTACCAGTGTTCAGCAACTTTACCGCTCGGCCGTTTGTGGGCCTTTATGAAATGGAAGGCGATAACTTTATTTAAAATGATTGTCAGAAATACCAAAATGTTTCGAAAAGTTGGATACTTTTCAATATACTTTCAGAATGCTTAAAGAAAAAGAGAAGAAAAATAAATTTTTTCGTAAAATTTAGTATTCGTATTTTTTTTTTAATTTAAAACTTTTCAATCTTATGATATTTGATTCTTGCGATTTCAAAAATAAAATATTTGACTAAAATATTAATAACATTTTAAGAAACCAAATGTAGGATAAAATTGTATAAAGCAATGGGCACAATGATAAAACTGTTTAAAGCAGTGTATGCAAGTCATCCTAAGTTAAAATATCGGTTATACATCTCTCTTATTTATATATATTTTTTCTGAACGGAACATTGAAAGGCGTGTAAAACTGTGCTTTACTGTATTTTCTCTTTTAATATAGTATGCAGTTTTCAAACGCATCGTAGTCTGGGTTACAAAGTATTCTTCCGAAAGAAACGCAGTTTAAATAAATAAAATCAAATTCTGGAAAATTGATATTAATAAATATATTTAAAATGCTCAGTTCGAAGGAATAAAGAGAAAATTTTAAAACAATTATCTGAAGAGACAATGCAACACAAACAATTAAAATAAAAGTATAAAAATTTAAAAATGACCTAAAATAATAACTATGACGAAAAATATATATAAAGAAAACTATTTGAAAAAAAAATAAATAAAATAAACGCTGCACCTTTATTTACGCAGTTCGAATAGGTAAATAGAAATTTTTAAAACAGTTATTCGAAAAAAAAAAAAAAAAAAAAAAAAAAAGCGTGCAACTTAAACAATTAAAATGAAATTCGAAAAAGAAAAAATTACTTAAAATAATAAGTTATAATTAGAAATATATATAAAGAATATTATTTGGAAAAAAGGAACGATGGTGACTTTTTTTCCTCTCACGGGAAAGGAAACTAGGTTGCCATATATTAAGAAGTTCGCCAAGTAAAGTATTCTTGGTGCAAACTGACAAAAAAGTGCCAACATAAATTTGTGAATTTCTCCGTAAATTTCGCTCCAAATTTTACAAAATTTCATATTTAGGCGTAATTTGTATGTAAAAAAATTGGTATGTTATTTCAGAAAAAGTCCGATTTTGTGTGAAAATACCTATGTTAGAATAGTGCTATATATAAATCTTATATATATCCTAAGTCGCGCTTTCGAGACATGAAGAACGCACTTTGAATTTTGTCAATCGGCCCAGTAGATCGGCAGATATAGGACTGTCCTTTTTTTTTTTTTTTTTTTTTTTTTTTTTTTGAGCAGTGTACATAAAATTTTATCTCGTGAAGAAGAAGAACACTTGATAGAAATTTCCTGCGATAGAACTAAAAGTGAAGATTTCACAAATAACACACTTGCTAACGTTTCGCTGAACCGAAAAAAGAGTTTAAAGGCATTTTCAATAAAGCAATTAAATTTTTATTGCCTTTTTGCACAACCTGTTTCTGTGAACGAAGATCTTCTTCCATTTTGTTATTTGAAAAACAAATACAGAACAAAATTAAAAGTAGATCCTGGTTTACGGTTAAAGCTAAGTGAAAAAATCTGATGTGTACACCACATAAATTCCTTATACGGAATACTAAATTATACGCAATTTTCTTACCTATCATTTAAACATATTAAATTAACAGTTAACGAAATCTGAATTAAATCTACTTCGTCCATAGCTCATAAATGACATTAGAATAAATGCACTCTTTAAAATTCAGTATATTTGTTTACTATAGAGACATTCTGGCGCTAGGTTCACTTAACAGCGTTACATCTCATTTATTTTTAACTCAGAGTGCACACAAATTATATCATCTGAAGAATTACCACAAGTTCCATTTAAATACTGTCTCGTGATAAATCTAAAACGATGTTTAATAGAAACTAAATAAATAATAAAGAAACAGGTTTTTCACAGACGATTCGGCGCCGCTTACCTAATGAGAATGCGATACTTATTAATTCAGTTCTCACTTCGCGGCAAGGCAAAAATACATGAAAATTCAAAATGTTTTCATTAAAATTTGAAAGATCTAGAAAAACGTAAAACACCAAGTACAAATAAAACAATTAGAAAAAAGTTTTTACAATTAAAATTACAGTTTGTAGGCAGAAACAAGCTAATAACTTGTTTTTGCTTACAAACTGTAATTTCTGCTTGCAAACCAATTTTTAATCTAATAATTAGCATTTGTGAATATTCAATAAAAATAGCTAATATGTTCTGAAAATGACAAAATATATTTTTTTTAATATTTCTATTGAGAAATTGAAAAATAATCATTGTAAAATGTAACGGTGATACAAAAGTTTTTGAGTTTTTGTTTAGGTGGCATGCGTTTGTCAAAATCTTGAGAATCGCTGTTTTAGAATACAGTATAAAGTCTGTAATCCGGACGTCCATTATCCGTAATGATGTATAATCCGGCCCTAAAAGCCACAAGCTTTACGCATGCCCGTGTTGAAAGAAATGTTTAATAAAGTAAACAAATAAATATTAAGCTTTTTTTGTAAAATTTGATACCCTTTAGATCATAATTGCTCTTTATTTCATAAATTACGGTTTTATATTTTTAATTGTATAATTGCTGCATGGCATCTTACCAGATTTAAACTGATGATCTATAATCCGGAATCGCCGAAGTCCCGGCGAATCCGGATTACGGACTTTGTACTGTATTATTTAAATTCCTGTATTTTTTGTTAATTGGATTTTCTTTTTGCGTTTCTCTTCAGATGGATGTGATGTTGGACTACAATTTTAACTTAGGTCAAGGTAACTTCATGCTGTCAGTCGCTGGTCTACACGTACTGTCTTGTGTGTATGGCAGAAGGAAACATACCATGGTCACGGTAAGATGATACTTCCTAATATTTGCAAAAAATTTTTACCTGGAATTCAACTGAATTTCCTTAAAAATGATTTGACTTGATATAATGTGGTTTTAGCTTAACATGTTTCTTGTGATTCACAAATATTTTTTAGTAAGTCTGCTTTAGTTATAAATTTCTTTTTTAGCATATTGCTTTTAAGTCCTCAGTGTTTTGTGTGGTTTTCTTCTCGAGTATTCTTTTAATATTTGTTTTAGCATCTGTGATGATTAATTGTATTTTTATGTACACAGCGCAAAAATAATTGGACAGTTCTATATCTATCTATTGGACAGTTCTATTCTACTGGGCCAATTGACGGAATTCAAATTGCGTTTTTCATGTCTCGAAAGCGCGACATACGATATATATTAGATTTATAAGTACTATTCCGTTGTGAAGACTGTAAAAAAATTGCAGCGAAAATGTATGCACAAAAGCGCCAAATCTAGCAAACGCACCCATTTAACAGCGCGCCAAATTTAGCGTACGCGATGATTTCAAATTGCGTAAGTTTAGATAGTTCTATATTTCTTAAGACGCTATTGAAATACTAGTTTAATTTTTAAATCCTTTTTTGATATCCTATGGATTTAAAATTTGGTAAGTGCCCATGACGAAAAGTCTGGAATAGAATTTTGGGTAAAGTGCAGAATCACCAACTGCTTGACGCGTTTTTAAGAATTGCACATACTCGGTATCCATGTACACAGCGACCTATTGTCGCAAAGCAGATTAAATTGTGAACATATTTGTGGCAACACAAACGTTCTGGTTATTAGCTCCCGAAGCAGCTATATTATGGAGTCGGCTGTAAAAAGTTGGAAGTAATTGCTTTTCAAATAAATAAAATATCGCAATTCTTGCAACAGTCACATATTCGATGATTTTAAGGTGTATGAGTCCCTTTAACCTTTTGCACATTACCTTTATTTATTAAATATCATGTTTTAGGTATTCAAACTATAAAACTAAGTTTTAGAGCAATATTGCAAAATAATTTAAAAATGAGCGTATCTTTAGAATATCCGATACAGTTCCGCGCCCTGGATATAAAAACGTTTTTATTCCCCCCCCCGTAGAGTGTTGCCATTGCTCGCTTTTAAATTGTTGAGTTTGTTAATCAAAGATTCGTTAAAGGTTTACAAAATATGAAATCGATAATAAAACAAACTTCAGATTCAAATTAGAGCTTCCACATGCCCATATTCTATGGAAGATTACATTATTCAAATTTGGATGGCTGTAGGTACCGTTGTTTTATCACAATGCGAGATACATACATACATTTATGCAGATTCTTCATTATTTAATTTCTTTAAATATAAGACAGTGCGATAATATATGTTGGCAACAATTTGAAAAGTGATGCACCCTTTTAAAGTTTTTGACGCAAAATGCCAAAATGAAATTAATAGTCCTTCAGGGCAAATTTCCCCTCTGGACTAATAAATATAAATACATAAAAATTTTAAAGTACTCAATAGATAACTTAAATGGAAATGAATTTTGGTTTACCGATACCAGTAAATTTTTCCATTACCTCTTATTGTTTAGAAGAGGTTTACAGATGTCGGTGTGAAAATTCGTATAAACCCATATAAACCGATAGAATTTCGGCATCAATTGGGTTGTTCTATTATCAGTCAGAAAAACTCATACAGATAAACCTGTAGAAGTCAGTAAAAATTGGTAGGAAACTACTCTGGTTTTTATGGGGATTTTTATTAGGAGTTCATTTAGGTTTTACTTCCCTTCAGGTTCTGCACCCTTGTGAGCTGGAACTGAATCGTCAACTGATCTTGGCGGATGAAGAAGTGAAGATGTCCTTCAATCTGACCAGTGTCCAGTTGTGTTTAAGTGCACCTGTTGTCCAGACGGTTCTTCAAGTTTCAAGGCAACTGCTCAAGAGCATTCAGGTAAATTATTGCACACTTCATGTTTAGTTTTCATAATAGGCGCAGTATTCGTTCAATTGTTTTAAATACACTGCCCTCTAAAAGTTAAGGAACAGCATGTGTTTCAAAGTTCACCATTACAAACGTGTCAGTAACGTTTAAATTCACAGTTTATATACTTCCTAGTAACGAAGGCTGAGAAAATTTATGCAACACAATAACTGTCACTTTCATTTTATAGAAATAAATACTTATGTAGGAGTTGGAGAAATAATGCAAATACTGTGAGTTTTGTCCACGAGTGTTGATCTTCAATTGTTATTAGCAATTTCGTTGACAATATCCATGAGGAGTCGTTTGCCAGATTCGTTGTGGCGGCGGGCGATCGAATGGATGGAAATAGAGATGTCACAAGCTAATGCTATCAAGACGTGTCAATGGCTTAGTTTGGCCCACCGAGTATGGAATAAGTTTCAAATCTAGGATTCTGTGTCTTAAAGACACGTTCCAGGCAGATCAAAAGTTACAACAACTGAGGGAGATCGTTATTTAGCTCTTTTAGTCCAAAGGAAGAGCAGCATTACTGCGTCTCATATCATAGTAGATAATTTACAGGCAACAGGAAAGGAATCTCAGCTACCACAGTGTGCAGACGCCTAGATAATACAGGTTTGTATACAAGATGATCAGTTTTTGGTGTCCCCCTTCATCCGAGGATACAGAGGTGCCCGTTTATGTTGGGCAAGAGAACACGTCTACTAAACGAGTCAACAACTTTGATAATTTGTTGGTTATTCTGGCATGCAGCGGGAGATGCACTACTCCTGCTCTTTTCAGATTCCTGAATGAGCCCCCTTAGAGTCCTGACATATTTAAAAGTCCAAAAAGAAAACTTCTGCAGTTTGAAATAGCTTTGTACAACAACGGGTGTCTATTCGTTTGACGAACGAGTCCAAGTACACACTGGAGAGTGATTAATATCTTCAGCTGATCTGGAGGAAACAATACACCAGATACAGCCTGTCTCACATTCTGGAAAGACACAGTAACAGAGGTGGTGGAATAATGGTTTGGGCAGGGATCTCTGGCTGTGGTCACGGTATCGAGACGAGATCCTCAATCGATGCCCGCTTATATACCACTGCTATTTGTCCTGGATTTCTCATGATGGGCAACAATGAGCGACAGCACCGACCTTGGATTGCGAAAGAATATGTTGAGGGTCACGGTATGAAGCGAATGAAATGGTTAGTTCAATCCTCAGACCTGAATCCGATAGAGCATCTTTGGAACTACCTTGGGAGAGAGATTGCTACTTTAAGCTCAAGGTCGTTACATGAGGTTGAACAAGAATTACTCCGTGCCTGGTCGTTGCTTCCCATTTCACTGGTCGAAAACTTAATGTTCCCTATGTTTCCTCAAGAAACTTATAATGTTTTTTCAATACTGGATATCTCTGCCAAGAGTGCAATTTTTTGTTGTAATTCATGTTTGTGTTGAACTTTAGAAACAACGTATGTCTCATTCATTAAAGAACTGTTTAGTGAACATGCTCTCCGAGTTTATTTTTTCTATGTTTCTTCATTTTCAAAGTAAACACAAAACATGCTGTTCCTTAACGTTTGAAGGGCAGTGTACATATCTTTAACCCTTTGCGGCAAAGTGTGTTCAGCCTGGACACACATAAAAATTTCCTTCTGTACGCACAGAAAAATTGAATGAAAAAGGATTTATAGGTTACTATAGGTTACTCTGAACCTTCTTTATTCATAGTAGATAGCAGCTCAACACAAACCAGTCCATATAGTTTAGCCATGTTTAGTAATTTAAAACCCTCATTTATCAAAGAAATCTTCCAGATTTTTTTTAGGGTATAAAAGGAATTGTTTGAAAAGAAATTTCTATGTTATTTTTTTGGCTGTATGCTAATCTCCATTCCATATTAGTTTTAAATTTTTACCTCGAAATCTTGCCTAAAATCAAACGGCGAACCCTAGGTGTGCCCAGACGGGGCTCACCGATAATCTAGGACAACTGAGAATCTGTACTCTTTGTTTCTCCGCATCTCATCGGTCAGTTCATTGACAACAATGCTCGTTTCAGCGCTCTTTTCGAAGCTCTTTTCTATCAGTGTGCCCACTTTGGGCTCACCAACAGAATTAAAACGATAAGTGCTATCTTCACAAAATTTTACTTGTGTACTCCTCTAGGCCTAATTAGACTGCCTATTTTTTTTTTTTTTCTTTTTTTTTTTTTATTAAAACTCCAACTTTAAACGGTAGCGTGCCGGAAAGGGTTAAAATAATACGGTAGGTACAGTGTGTCCTCCGACATCCATAAAGCTTTGTCTTTCAAACTTTAAGATATTTATGTAATAAATTGAATCATAAGCCTCGGCATTATAAAAGAAGTGTGTTGCTACTAGCATTATACTTATCTTTGAATTTTTTTTTTTTTTTTTTTTTTTTTTTTGTATTTTGAATTTACAAACTAACGATTTGAAGTAATAAACATAGATTCAATTCATTTGTTGTTAATTAGGAGCTCGATCAGTGAAATGACTCTAGGCAGATTCATTAAAATCATCTATCAATCTATCTATCTATCTATCTATCTATCTATCTAATCTATCTATCTATCTCTATATATAAAGAAGAGTGTGCGTTTGTATGTTTGTGCGCATGCCTTTTCTAAAAAACTAGAGTTTTATTCCGATCTTGATGAAATTTTGCACATTTGGCCTGCGAAACGAGATGAAGATTATAAGGTAATTACCCCTTTCTTCCTGGCTCCCTTCGTGGCGTATTTGGAAGCATACATGACTCGTATTCGAGGAGATCCAGAATTCGAGTCCCGGCGGCATGTAAACATTGTGTACCGCGCCACGCACATAGAGAAAAATCCCTCCTCGTGATTGGATATGGCTTCCAATGACATCATATCCTCTATGCTTAGGAGCGCGTTGACTTTGCTTGGGCTCGAGGGTACACATCCATACTGTTTGTTTACATTTTGATAGTAATACCGAAAAGCCTATCACGTGCGATGTATTTTTGTTGCTATGAGATTATACTTCTTACAACACAGTAATGTGGTGGATTTAATATTAAAAAAATGTAGTGATTTTTTTCCCTAGAGAGAAAAAGTATTAATTCTTCTTTTTTTAACTCCTTAAATGTGTATTAATATCAAGTGCAAAGAATTTTGATAAAAGTATTCTTAATTTAAAACCCTTCATATTAAAGGTGTTGTGATTATTAACCCTTTCCCGCACGCTACCCTTTAAAGTTATAATTTTGATAAATAGAAAAAGGTAGGCAGTCTAATTAGGCCTAGAGGAGTACACAAGTAAAATTTTGTGAAGATAGCACTTATCGTTTTAATTCTGTGGGTGTGCCCAAAGTGGGCACACTGATTGAATAGAACTTCGAAAAGAGTGCTGAAACGAGCATTGTTGTCAATGAACTGACCGATGAGATTCGGAGAACAAAGAATACAGACTCTCAGTTGTCCTAGATGATCGGTGAGCCCGGTCTGGACACACATAAGGTTCGCCGTTTGATTTTAGGCAAGATTTCAAGGTAAAAATTTAAAACTAATATAGAATAAGAAGACTAGCATACAGCCAAAAAAATAACATAGAAATTTCTTTTGAAACAATTCCTTTTATACCCTAAAAAAATCTGGAAGATTTCTTTGAAAAATGAGGGTCTTAAAAAACTAAACATGGCTAAAATATATGGACTGGTTTGTGTTGAGCTGCCATCTACTATAAATAAAGAAGGTTCAGAGTAACCTATAAATCCTTTTCCATTCAATTTTTCTGTGCGTACAGAAGGAAAGTCTTAGGTGTGTCCAGACCGGACACTCTGTGCCGCAAAGGTTAACTAATTATTTCATGTTCATTATATATACGTTTTCGGAAATAGCAAAAACGAAGCTGGGCCCTAACATTCATTACAAGTACACAATAAATTCACAATAATCATAATCAGTCTGAAAACGTAAAATTTATTTTTGAACTTAGACTATAATAGATTTGTAACAGAGAAATAGAGATACGTATTTTAAATGGAATAATGTTACTTTATGAGTATTGCCCATTTTAAATGTAATGTGATTAATGAACCTTTTTTATCTTTGCATAAAAATAGTTTTTGTCACGAAAGGAAGTTTCCTTTCTTATACACGTGTATTAAATTCAGCGACAGTATTGAATGCCCCTTTTTCTTCCATTTAAGACATATGTTGGAATGACATGAACATTAATATGGAAATAACATAATATTTGGAAAGGGAATATTTTCTTCAATGTGAAAGAAACAGAATACATTAAAAGTGCAGTAATATAATAATATACTTAATAGAACACATTGCCTTTACAGTTGGACCCAGAATCGTCGTGTTTTTGTTTTTGCACTAAATTCATCTAGTTATATAAGCTAAGCGCTTAGATTGCTTCGGCTTCTGATAGTAGCAGTATCTTTGGAAGATTTTATAATTTTATAATTCCATGGAACAGGAAGCCGTCTGCAGAAGGCTGCAGCTAAATGTTTTCATTTCAAAGAAAACAAATGATAATTTTCACGCTTCCGTGTCACTCATGCGCATTATTCAACGAAAACAAAACCGTAATAACCCCGCCCCTAAACGTCACTACGCCAATAGAAAATGATGCCATAAGAAAGTATGTCCAATCACGAATATGGATTTTTGCTTATGCGAGTGGTGCGGTACAGAATGCTTATATGCGCCCCGGCGGCATAGTTCACAAGTGTACATTAGCGTAGCCACTGAGGAAGGGGTTTCGAAAATGGACCAATTTATGGCTTTTGTGACGTTTAATCTTCGTGCATGTCAGTGTATGTTGTTCGTGTTTTAATTAGTATTTGTTTCGCAGTTATAAATGTATGGCGTTATAGTAGAAAATCTCGTAGTGCTTTCGTTTAATGAGTTTAATTAATCGCTGACATTTCACTTTCGCGATTTTTATTACGCATTAATATTTGGATTGATGTTAA